CGCAAATGTAACAGGAGATACAATTTCAAAACAGCGAATTTTGTCAACAGTTGCAGAAGCACCGTGTTTTTTAACTATTTAGCAGTCTCTTCCTTGAAAACATTTCTGAGTTACCGATATAGGAAATTTTGTCACAAATCTTCTTTTTTTTTTAAAAAAAAAAAAACAAACCCAAACTGGAAGGCTTCACTTGGCACATTTTCTTTTTCTTATGCTGCTTTCTTTGCTTTATTGTAGAGGACAAGATGAGAAATTGCTGTTGAAAGCTCTGCAGAGATGCGACATTTTTCTTTCTGCTCAGTAGCCCAGAATCTGTGCGAAGAAAAGCCTTCTGGCCCTGAAGCAACATGTGTTGCTCTGCTAAACTGACTCTTTTCCCAGCCAGTTCGATAGGAAAACACGGACTTCAAACCGTTTATTATATTTAACAAAATATCTTTGGTCATGAAGTGTTAAGTAGCTAAACCTAGAGCTTCAGTGGTGCTGATCCTGCCCAGGCTGCCTGCGCCAGCCTCCTGCCTGAAATCAGTATGGAAACCTTGCAGACCTGGGCCCAGAGCTGGTACCCAGCAGGATGTCCTTCCCGAGGCCACCGGCTTCCCCCAGGTGCCGCGGCCATCAGGGCAGTGCTCTTGTTTCTGCACCCAGCAGCTGCTGCAACGTCTGAGCCAAGCAACAAACCGGGGCCGGGGCAAGAGCTTTACTCCAGCAGATTCTCCCTTTTGCACCAGTTGCACCACCACAGCTCACGGGCAAGGAAGCGGGCGTTATTTGTAATGCATGAAGCAGCAGAAGACTCCATCCAAATGCAGACCCCAATCTGCATCCGAGGAAATCTGGCCACCTTTGCAGCCGAGCCTTTCCCACTTGGCTGACGTGCTGTGTTCCTGGAGAAAGGGAGCAGCGCCTGTCTGACAGCCACACGACATGCACCCAGGTCCCCTCAGCCCGTCCTGCCTTTCCACTGGGATGGAGAGCTGAGCGACACTGGGACTGGGATTTTCAAAGCCACCAATATGATCTGGACCCCTAACTCTCATTAAGTCACATAAAAATTAGTGCTGATGACAACAGGCTAACTACCAACTTTTCACCTCCTCCTCCTCTGCAAAAGCTGTCCAGCTCTCTTAGGTAAATTACGAGGTTCAGTTAATATGTATATTTTACCATTATAATTAGGAACATGCTCATTGCTGGTTTATTGTTTTTCTTTTCTGGTATGTTTTCACTCTTACATCTGAAAGACACTTTCAAATTAATTTTCTTATTATTACTGTTCAACCCAGCAATGCATGCAGGGCAAAAACAATAGCCCACAACCCTACATACTTCTGATATGGAAACCATTTCTTTTTTTTTTGTTGTTGTTAAAGAACCATACAGATTCTGTCAGGAAGGCAGGCACAGCCAAGCTACACATATTATATTTTAATTAAATTTTATAAAACTACATATCCAGTGAAGGGCGGAGGGAGAGAATTAACAGGTCAAAACAAAACTGTATTCTTAAGTAAGACTGTTTTCATTCCCAGCCTGCTTTTTATACCTCCTTTCAGAGCTCATAAATCTCTACAGGTAAAGATCAATGCCTTGCAAAATTCAGATAGAGAGGCATCAGCTATGCCAAAAAGACCTGCCTTCATGCCGGTAATCCGCACGGTATTGCACTTCCGAGTTATAAACCCCTGAATACTCTGAAACTGCAAACCAAGCTGTATGTAAGCGGTATATTAAGGCAAAGGCACCACCAACAATTCTGAGTTCATAATATTTCCAGCCTACTGAACCACATGTTAATATGCTACACGTGCTATTCTGCATATTTTTACCATGTACACCTACAGCTATACATTTCCTCCACTTTCCAATGCAATATATTTCAATGCAAAATCAATGTGTGTTTTTGGTGGGCAGCAGAAAGGCTTTATCCACTCGGCTCTGAATCTGAGGCGAAAACAGTATTGATTTAGATGTTCACTCATTCATTTACTCGGACAGTTTTAAAGCACTAGGTGATAACCTAATTGAGAGGCACACTGCGAGGGAAACTGAGATTGTTGTGATAAATTAAATCAGTTCTGGGATGTCATCTACAATACTTTAATATTTGAAGTAGCATTCTCCTGAAAAAACGAAACCAGGAAACGAGCATCTTGGGTGGCAGAATATGGCTTTCTATAAAAGCCAGGTAATACAAGCTGATTAAAATACAAATAGATAAATAAATTGCATATTATAGAAAAACTAATGCAACACACATTCTATATGTGTGCTCATATATGTATGTATTTATCTCTCTGGCTTCCACTTCCTACTGCAACCTGATTAGGTACCCATCAAGGTACATTTTACAGAAGCAAATTAAGTCACATGAGTCACCAAATAGTGTTATGACTGCCATATACCAAATATTGCTCAAGTACACACTTTCATGAGCCTGAGGCCAGAAGGATTTGGTCTCACATCTGGGTCTTGCATTTGGAGGAGCATGTCCTGCAGTCTCTCATGTAGGCACAGAGAAAATGCTGACCCATCTGCCATAGATCTGGACAGCTGATGAATCAGGCCCAAAGTCCCCCAAACTTCTCCAGATACTGCAGCTATTAGCTGCCAGCAGCTTAGATGACTCTGCCTAGTGTTCAACGCGTATATTCTTCGCAGAGCGGGGCCAACCAAAGAGAACATATGCAGGGCTGGATGCACCAGCAGTAATAGCATTAGCAGAATCCAGGGAAATCTGGAATTCCTTCCTAATGCAGGACGCAATCCTGTTAGGTACTGAGCTCCCTCATTTTCCACTTTTTAAAAGAAGGCACCAGAGTATGCGAAGTCTCATGCTTTGAGCACGAAGCAAAGTGAAATAGTTAATAAGAATAAACATGCCTGTTAATACAGATGATTCAGATTTAAAATTCATGAACTTACATGTAAGAAATAATTTTGCTCTGAATATTTTCTACATTTTTTCCACTTTGTGTTAGTGCAGGGTATTATTAACAGATCTGTATTTTTCAAAGCAGTGGCTAAATGAAGAGGATTCTTACATTACGTGTATGGTCAAACAGAAATTAAGTATAAAACTAGAATATAGGATATTAAAAAAACCCCTCCATTTAAAATGAAGAAAAGTCCTGGAGCTCTGAATTATGCCTCTTACTCTTAAGAGTTAATGAGTGTGGATTTTTTCCAGTTCTGGGAGAGTGGCAGAAAGCCCCTGAGAAGCAAAGGGGCTGCTTGTTCACTATACTGTGTTTTGGAACTGATAGCAATTTCTGTCTGAAAGAACCGTATCCTCATACGTTAGGTTTAGAGAGAAAACCCGATTATCCAGATTAAAAAGTAATTTGTATTAATGTACACTTTCAGCTATTAAAGCACAGAATTCTCACCATATGCACCAATAATTTAATCTTGTTCTTAAGTAGCCTCACACTTCCAGTAAAAAAAAGGCAGGGGGTGGCGGGCAGAGAGTAAACTACAGAACCTTTAGTCCCCAAAACAGATGCCAGTTTTAGATTTATTCAGCCAAGGAGTATTTAGCTTGGCTCAGCTATGCCTGAGTTGAAAAAACACTTGCCTATTCCAAAAAGTTTTTAACAACCTCTGCTGCAGATGCTGTTGCCATTTGGCATGTCACCGTCACTGTGTGGTACAGCAGAGAGAGAACTCTTGACCACAGGTTTTCCTTGGCCAGGGGAGACAGCATTTTTGGCTATCGCTCTTCTTCTGGCCAACTGGCTGCATGTTTACGGAGTGTGGTTTTAGACGGAGTGTTAACAGAGGTTGGGTTAACAGCCTAACCCAGACCAACAGGGAGGCGAAGGCATGACCTATCCAATCTAAGAAAACAGGGATAGAATAAGCTCGTATATGCTGTTGCTCCTAACCAAGAATCTCTTGCATATGCCATACCTATAGACAAGAAGATATTTTTCTTTGCCTCGGGATAGATGACAACAACTTTAAAAGAGGTACCAGTCATGCAAAGTAGAGATATATAAAAACATGTGGTTGCTTAATCTTTGTCGGCTTGATTTCATTCTCTCACTTACGACAATTTTACTTTGGCGAAATGCCACTGAAAGAATTTCAGTGAAGTTACTGCTGTTTTCCACTACGATGAGATATCTTGAGAGGATAAAAACCCTACAGAGTTAAACTTCAAACTTCTATCCTCGTATTTCTACTAGCCAGCAAACGGCAGTTCTGAAACTGAAAAAGTCTAAGTGTTTCTACATTGATGTACTCCGTTCTAGGGATACTAGTGCCGAATACCTCCGTGAGAGTGCATACAAAGCTGGGAAAAACTTACAAATGCCCACTTGTAGTTTAGTTTACCTACATTAATCCTATACCAGTACATCTGCCTGAGAAGCCTTCACCTTGTAAGACATACAACAACTTTAAAAAACACTTTAAAAAAACATTTGACTCGTATAAATAGATTATTTTTGTCCAAATTCTGACTCTTCTTTTGACGGCAACACATTTGTTGCACTCAAGCAAAAGAAAATATCCCAGTTTTATAGGTATCGTTTTCTCTGCTTTTCTAACGCCATTGCCCTGACACACCACGCACCTATCGGGAGAAAACAAAGACTATGTACACTACCTCCACATCAGAAACTTTTTACTTCACTCTTTATTAACTGACAGTTTGCTTTAAGCCAAGTTGTGGAGCACAGACACCATCAGAGAATCAGCCAGAACATTTGCTTAAATTCTACTAATCTGCACCAAAAATCCTATTTGATACAGTACGGATCAGATAGCCCACCCTTCCCTTCACTTTCCTCTCACTGAGAGTTCAGCTAGGACTAGGAACATCTTGAAAGTTCATAGACACAAAGACAATTTACTGCAGCGTATTGAAAAAGAGTATAACATATGACTAAGAATGAAGTAAGCAGTGTCTGGCTACATCCCCCACTGTCTGGGTAACCAGTATGCAAGAGCAATATAAGAAAAGAAAATAATTTAAAAAAATTTTCTCTTTTTACCATTTTGGCTTCTGAATGCATTGGGGGGACTTGAGGTGAAGCACACGGATTATTGAGGTTCGGCCCCTGCATCCCCATGATGTTGGAGTTCATTGACATTTGTCGCTCCATCTTTTAAAAGAAAAAGAAAAAAAAAAAGGTTTGAAAACGTCTGGAGACATTTGCAAGAATTTATGCTCGGTTTCTATTTAAATGGACTCAGCTTTATTTCTTCAAGTCATGACTGGAAAAATAACAATCTGTGTCGTGAATTGCATGTGTGTATGCACGCAGGCGTGTGTTTCATCAGAATCGGCCCTGAAAACTCACAGCCAATTACAAAGAAAAGGGTTCTTTACTAAACAAATGTAGCAGCCACCCAGGTTTGCATTTTTTTTGTAATGATTTTCTCCCTTTCAGTATAACAACACTCGGAGTTAAGTGGTTTTAAAAGCATCACTGTATAAAGTTGTGGCTTCCCCTGTCAGTGCAGCCCAACTTAGCTTGTTAAAAACATAAATAAAAACCTACAATCTCGAGTATACGGAAAATGAGTTGGCTCTTTTTCCTTCACTCGGACTGCTCAGCCAAGAAGAGTTTTCCATATGTCTTGTAAGGGAAGCTTTCATGTACTGCTGAGATAGATAGAAAAAAACAAAGCAGAACTCCTCCTGGTCATCCAGAGCCCTCTCTGCAAGCTACTCTCACTAGGCTGCAAGGGAGGGATACAATTTTCAAACAAAACCTTAACGGCTGGCAGTAAGGACTGGATAAAATAATTTCCTGTAGTGTCTTCCCCAAAAAGAGGCAAGCCCTGTTGCACTGCTAGTCATCGGTAGGGGTGATGAAGAGGGTTATGGGGCTGCTTTCAACCGGAGCTGAGCATCCTGTCTTGCTTTGGGCCAGTCCCCAAAATCTTTGGCTCATACGAGAAAGAAGTTTTTGGATCCTCCTGAGCTCTTCCAAGCAGGGGAGCTATATTTTGTGCCCTGCGGTGAGGCACTGACTCCCGCCTTTCATGATCCCAGCCAGAATGGGCGCTGGGCCTGGGGGAGAGGGCAATATCCCACTGCCTGCTGGTGGGGAGAAGCTGCATCTGCCAGGGGCCCTCACCCTCTCCATGGGACAGGAGCGGCTCCCATTGCCATCTCCTCTGCAGCCCTTTCGGGAGGGCTGTGGGGCAGGACCTGTGGCCAGGGCAGCCAGAGCCGATAGGGTCCATCTCGCCTCCAGGCTCGCATCTCTGGGGCTCTCAGCCAGAGCACTCCTGCTTGCCTGCAAGCACAGCCGCCCAAAGGGCTCCCCAGCAGCAACCTGAAGCCCCTGAGCTTACCCTGAAGTAGGATGTTTGCTCCATTTCAGGTTTCTTAGGAATCACGCCAGAAAAAATCTGGCATGTCTTACATTTTTTTTTGTTGAACTTCCTGGTCGATATTCCAGGAAAGTCTTATTGATAAGTTATTAATTAATAACTAATTAAAGACTGCTCAAATAGCAGCCAAACCTGAATCTTTGCGGCCCTGTGGAATGCCCCCCTTGCTCCAGCAGAGCCAGAACAAGCAGTGCTTTCCTCCCTCCCGTGGTCGATCACTCTCAGGTTGCCTTCCAAGCATCATGCAACGAAACTGTAACTTCTCCTTTCCCAATCCCTTCTTGCCTGCACCATCCTTACTCATCTCCACCCCCTATCTGCCTTCAATGTCTTACATTGAAAGGGTTCTTAAAATCATATAAGAATTTGAAGCTACAATTGCAAAGCACCCTTTGTCTCCCAGAAGATGGGGAATATTCCCAGCTCTGCAGAAATGAGTAGAAGTTGAACAGCTATCACAACCAAATTCTAATTAAGTGCAAGTAATGAGGCTGGAAAAGTCAGTCACTTTTTTTCTTGTTAGTTGATCATCTCCCACAAACAAGAGGATTACTTAGAGTTCACTGGCATAACTTATGTACATGGTTTTTCCAGCTTTGTCTGACTTGAGAAAAATCTTTTTGATACTGGTCTCACCTACATAATCGAGTGCGAGAACGAGAAACTGTAGTAATGTAAACCATTTCTAATCACTCTCATGCTAATTAATATGCCATTAACTGCACCAGAAATACTCTTGTGTAAGATGAAGCAGAGGAAAAGGTCCAGCTTCCTTAGCTCATTGCACTTTGATTTTATAGAAAATCCAGCACGCTGGCTGTCACCTCTGGATAGGTTGAATCAAGCAAAAACCCAACCTCCTCCCCCACCCCCCCCAAAAAAAAAAATCAAACCAAAAAACTTACAGGCATGAGTACAGCAGAGGATCCGGGCATGGTGGGGTTGGGCAGGGTGCCAGGCATAGAGGCAGGCATAGGCTGTCTTTGTCGGTTGTGTAGGTGCAGTAGTGAAGACAGAGAACCTGGGACAGGCCTAGGAGAAAAATAAAGCAAGCCGTCATGGGCTATGGAGACCAAAACAAGCCTCCCTCGCGCCAGCCATTGCGAGGCACAGGCAACTCTAGACAAGCAGGCGCAGATAAGCCAATCCAGCATTTGTCCTCTCCTGCATAAACCAGTGGAACAGAAAGTTTTCAAGAAACAGATGAATCACCTTCCTTCTACTATTTATCAGTTAGAGCACCGGTATAGTCCATCTGATAGAACACGAAGACCAACATAACAGCCGGTCTCAGTCTATGCACCTCTGCAGCTTACAGTGGCCAGCAAAAGATTTCTACGGGCAAAGCAGGAAAATCTCCTGGCGTGCCGCATTAGTGCATTGATGTAAATTCAGTCCTCAGGAACAAAAATATCTGGATGATAGTTTTGTAGACTATGACAGAAAATTAAACACTCTTAAATTAATTTTGAAATTTTATCACCTGTAAATAAACTACTCTAAAATTAGTATTTCATCTCACTGTTGATATTCTCTCCTATGAAACTCTACCAAGCCTTTGTTCCAAAGCAAGGTTCCTGATTTTACCAGTTAGCAGGTCACCAGGGCACAGAAAATGGAAAAAAAGAAAGAAAATTAGCAAAATTACATTCAGATTAAGTAGCTTGTAAAGGCAAAAAGTACAGACTATAAAAAAGCAGAGTGAGTTATTTTGGCAAAAGGAGTTCAAAAGATTTAGAAGGATTTTTCTAAGTACAGTACAGGGAAAAGAGTGCATGTGAGAAAGCAGGCCCACTCACAAAGAAGAATCATAAAATTAATGGATTAAACCAAGCTTTGCTGGAAGTTAGTTAAATTAATCATCTTTTTTTGTTTGTTTGTTTGTTTTGAAGAAGGTATGAGTTGCTTGAAGTTTGGGGTAAATATAACTTGTTACCTTTTCGAAAAGCATGAAAATAAGAAAGCTTTCACATACAGTGCCTCAGCAAACATTGCTAGTACAAGTTAGTAGGTTAAATTCTCACGGAACAGGATGCTCTGCAGTATAGTACCTTGTTTACACTGTTTATTAAGCAGGAGACATACCCTTAAAGGTATGAGAAGAACCAAAGAGAAGGGGGCATAGTCCAGGAGCTTGAAGAGCCTCTGCAGAAGAGAGCATGGGAAGAGTCTAAAGACGTTTGGAGCCTCGAAATGTCAGGGCTGATTTTCTGCCTTGGCAGAAGCATCCTTTGCTTCAGTGACAAATCCACAGCTAGCCATGAAAGCCTCAAAATCGAGCTGGGCTGGTCAGGGAAGCAGAGTCATAACCTCAGAGTGGCGAGGGGGAAGATAGTTGCTTCTCCCACTTGGTTTGAACCGTGTCACACCAAATGATGGGGTTTTACCTCTTGCCCCTCCAACTGTGAATATGGCAATCATGAATACACAGACCCCTCTTCTAACTTCAGCTGTCACTTCCATTTTTTCTAACAACAAGAAGCCAAAGGCTGTGAGCAGTGGGATTCACAGACATCCTGTAGCGAGGACACCACATCCAGACTCCCAAAGTGGAGGTGCCTGTCTCATGGCAACACCAGCTTCTTCTGACCTACAAATCTCATCCTTTTCTGCCCAGACCTCAAGCCACCTATTTCCCTCTTCCCTAAAACTACCCAGTATTTCCCACCCTTGGACTTTCAGTCCTTCAGCCCTCCTCTCTCCAACCCATTTCCCCAGAAACATTTCTGTCCCACCTCCCTTGTACCCAGACACCCCGCTCCTCCCACCCCTCTGCCCTCAGCTGCCCTCTCTTTAGCAGCTGCACATGACTGAACCCATCCTTTTGTCTTGGTTCTCTATGGAGAGAAAAAGCCTGTGTTTTGAACGATGTTTTAAAAATCCTCCCAGACACATACAGTACTTATTCAGAAGGAAAAAAAAAAACCCTCAAAACAACACCAAATGTATGTCAGATACAGACAAGAAGCTCTTCCTATGCCTTCCTGGTTATCTGCTGATGGAGGAATATGATGTACTTTACATCTTCACAGCCCCCCAAAGAAACTCAAGACAATGTCTCCCAAATACGTAGCGTAACCCTGCAAGAGGTTGCAAGAAGTGCTGTGAGGGAGCATGGGTCAGCTTCTGGGACAGAGGACTCTACGGTCAGCTCAGCACAAGGCTAAGCCTGGGGAGCTGTGGAGGTAGTGTAAGTAGAATGGATGTACTGCAGGGAAAATGGGCTCAGAAAATACACAAGTATTTTCTTTCACAAATTTCTTTCACAAATATTTCCAAGTACACAGCCCCTGACCCATCCTACTCTCCACTTAAAACACAGCCGCTCCACGTACCAGCACTCACTCACACAAGAGGACTGATGAATCATTAGGACAGGGTCAAAATAGCACGAAAAGCAGATTCAGTCATCCTTTGAAAAGAAAAAAGTGAGGACATATAACCATCTGAATGTGAGGAGGAGAATGATCTCTGGTTTCCGGAAGCTGTGGTGACCCCTACAAGCAAGAATCCACTTCCCACCGGCCCATCCTCACTGCAACCACAGCCCTGCAGAGCCACAGACAGCATGCTCAAATAGGTCTTCTCTATCTTGTACTTTAAAGTCCATGCGACAGCCTCCAGGAGGAAGGGCTGAGACCTCGACCCTGGGGGGGCCAAGGAGCAGAACAAAGTGTGCTATAGCCACGGACGGGGATGCACCCTGGGTTTCCTCCCAGGAGGGTGGGCAGGGAGGAGCGGGCAGGAAAGGAGAAAGCGCTGCTGCACCCTCATGCCTGTCCTGGGATGGGACAGAGGTGTGCGCCCACCCGCCCACCCGAGCTCTGAAGTCCTCAGGGTCTACCGGCTTAGACACAGCCTAAGAGAACTGCGCGGGCTAACAGGAGCAATGCATTCAGTAAAAGTATCACTTGAGTTTTCAGTGGGACCAAAGTAAAACAAGTACCCTGACAACAGCCCCCCTCCTTTATTCGTTCTGAGACTGTCCCGCATACAGACCCTTTGTAGAATTCACCAGTTTCATAATAAGCTTAGGTGTTAGGCTGTTTGACAGAAACTTATTTTGGCCTGACCTATGCAATTTGTGCAAGTGATTCTCAAGGGACTGCACAGTTTAAGTTTTGCTTATATGTTCCAGAGCCAAAAAAATTTCCAAAATTGCTTTAATGAGTTTGGGAATATGGGACTTGGGCAAAGGGGAATTATTGGTATTTATTAAAATGGCAAGGAAGCTTCCTTGCTGTCCCCAGTTTCACCTTTAACGCTGCTTCGCTTTGGGGGTCTGCATATGCTTTACACTCAGCGAGAGGAAAAAAAATCCTCAGTACTTCAGGTATTTTTCCTTGCTATACTCCTGCTAGTCTGTTCCCAAGTGTATTTTTGCAAAGAGGTGCAGAGCAGTCAGAGAAACCTTGTGCTTCAAGGTTGACCCCCTTTGTCGAGAAGTCCTCACCGCTCCCGCCACCAATAAAAGTGCTACATAATGCACACCAGATTCCAGTCCCCAGCGGGGAAGCTGACGTTGGCCAGTACTCATGGATACTTCTGTTGCTTCCACATTGAATGCAGGTCATCGATTAGCACGTGCCCGTGTGCACTCACTTGCACAGAGCTCGGGGAATGTGTACGGCACAGAACCATACAGGCCAAGATACTCAATTTGTCTAAGACATTTCTACTGCTTCCAAGGACAACACAATCTCTTCTGATGTTGCTTTCTATCCTGCAGCAAAGAAAGTCAGCAAGAGTTTATAATTGTTATTTTTAATGCTGGAAACGTTGACTTTGCTCCTCTCTTTGTAAATGCTGAGGAGGTGCTGCCTGCAGCCTGTCAGTCAATATTGCTGACTGAGGGATTTTAATTCCTTGGCACCTGTGTTGCTAAATGAATAGGGTTGTTGGGCCAACAGCCCACAAATAAAGGACAGATAAGATAGAGAACTGGCAAGTGCTCAACCTCACTGAAAATCTGGCCATCCGTGGAGTTTCTCCCAACTTTAAGAATTTGCATCGTGTTCCAGCAGAAGCCTGCTATTGGACATGATGGGGTCTCAGTCAGCATTTGTACACTATCTCTTTGCGTGTACGTGGCCTGGATGGATAACATTGCGGTGGCTCGGCAAAATACCACGTGTTAGCCAAGCTGCTGTAACTGACCACGTTGGCTCCCCTCCCTCTGCACGGCCGTGCTAACACCGTGAGTCATCCTTACTAACATTTAAACAGATGGGCGGTACCCCGCTAAGCCACGGTGACTCGATCATGTTCCATCATATGACTCTACCCAATGATTAAAGATAACTTCACTAATGTAATCAAATATCTGTGATATATACTTTGCTATGTGCCTTCTTGATTAATACCAAATATTCTGTCTGCTATGATGCAACACCTTTCTGACCCAGTTTTCTAGATTGTCTGATGACTAAACGCTACATTTGTCTATTAAAAGGTTAGGCTTCCCTTAACTTTTACTCTTCAAGGGCAGTTTCTGCAGATGACAATTTGTTGCTGAGGTCTCATGAGATTAGCTTCACACTGAGCTAGACCATGCAGGGCTACGTGCCGAAGGACTGGTGCTATTTAAAGTATCGCTGCAGTATGTTTTCTATTATGGTAAAGCACTCCCGGTCAGTGGGTCTTACCATGACCTCCCTCCTGCTCCTTACTCTCCTGCACTTAGCATTCATGCAAGGTCAGCAAGAATACCTACACCACAACCCAGTTTGTTCTACTTTAGTTAGCTCTGGTGTGGAAGTTGCACTGGAGCAAAGAAACTCATCTCTCAACTTTCTATGGCCTGCAGACCCAGCCAGCTCACACAGGAGCAGCCCACAAGTAGCTGGTTGTGCTGTGGCAGTTCGCCATGTCGGGTCAGCACTGGCTCAGGGATTTCTGTACCATGCTCCAGTTACGCAACGCAAGACTTGCCCAGACTTTCATAATTTTTTTTATGTATGTATGTATATATATGTATGTACATATATATATTTATTACAACAGTGCCTAGAAGCTTCGGTTTAAAAACTGTG